CACGCAGAGGGGGCTGGTGTGTGGGCGTTTATCACTTCGCCCACACGCCCGTCTCCTCGCTCACACCCAAAGCTGGCAGTTGCCATGTGTTTCTGCAGGGTACATGGCAACTGGCCTAACTTTGCTTGTAAGCAGATTCAACTCTCTTTTACCCGAGTTGTCATATGTTTTTGCATGGTACATGGCAACTGCCCTAGTGTGCACGTAAGCAGATGTCAACTCTTTCTTTTACATGACAACTGCCCTAGCGTGCTTTGTGAGCACATGGCGACTCTTTCTTTTACCAGAACATGCTTTTTTGACATGCCTTTTTTAGTGCTAGATGGCAACTGCCTATTGTTAGTGGGTGGCAACTCCTAAAGTTTTGAAATCATGACAACTGCAGTAGACCAGACCATACATGGCAACTGCAGTTGAGCAACCATGGCAACTGTAGTTGTCTGACATGGCAACCGAAGTTCAGCGACATGGCAACTGCAGTTAAACGAACATGGACGAGGGTCTGGACCATGGCAACTGCGGGACGCGCGGTGACTGTCACACGGGGCGTGCGGGACCACGAGGTACGAGGCCTGACGTACGGGGTGTGTGGGCGTTATCTATTTCGCCTACACGCACGCGTGTGAGAGGGGTCGGGAGGAAAAAAAAGATGTGTAGGCATTACTTATTTTACCCACACGCAGGTGTGTGGGCTGTTCCTTTTATACACCACATAAAATGTGTGGGCAAACCCTCAAACGCCCACACGTGTGACACTTATCGGCGTCCTAATTTTTTAGTCCAGGATTCATGATGATCGGCGTCCAAAGGGCCAAAGAAATTGATATATAGAGTAAAATGCATCGTCGTTGCTCGCTCATCTTGATCACTGTACTTAAAATATACTAGTGGATATATTTATTTGCGTAACTTATGATGATTATACGGGCATTGCCTCACCCTAGAGCTCCATATTTATATATGAAAATCGGTATGCATGCTTGTTACAAGTAAAAACAAGAGAGAATCGAGAGAGATGTAAATGAATCCAACCAGTGTGAATTCTATTGATGGTCAGTCTTTATATACAAAGCGAGGCGACACAAGTGAAGGGATGTGTCGGCTCGATGGGGCGAGAAAACCAGACGTGTGTCGTGCAATTATATAAGAGAGGATTATCTTTTTAATTATAACATCAATTAAATCATAGCACTCTCTCTAATCCTTGCTTGTCCATGTGACTGATCATCCTTGAAATAATCTCCTCTAAAATCCCATGAAAAAAATATATGAGAAGATATGTGTAAGATGCCATAAAAAACTCCTTCCAAAAATGCAGTAAAAAAATAAGGAGAAAAATGACATATCATACTGGTTGTATTACTATTGCTTCATTAAAAACCTTCTATGAGAAACCACTCATGAAAACTCATAAAGAAAAAAGAGTACAATATCTAAGATCCGAAGATCTTGAACATTTTATCATATGTGAGTACACTCACCCTGAATCCTGCAAATCATAAAGTCAGCTCATACCAATTTCATTAACATAATTCTAGAATGAAGAACTTGGTAAAGACTTTGTGAACAAATCACCGAGATTATCACATGAATTTATTTGTAAAATATTTAGCTTCCCATTTCTTTGCAACTCATGGAGCTAAACAATATCAGAGCAATACACATTGTAATTTTGCTCTGCATAACCTATCCGCATCTGCGTAATACAAACAACATTACCTTCATAGATAATAGTTGGCAGTTTCAATGGACCAATTCCTCTTAAACTTTCAATAAAGTTCAACATTCTAAGAAGTCACATACATCTATGTGATGTTTCATACAAATCAATAATTTTAGAATGACTAGTGGATGCTACCACTGAAGTTTGTCTTCTGGACTTCCAAGAGAAGGTCGTACCTCCATTTGAGAAGACAAAACCAGTATGCTATCTGGGATTATGGGGATGTCATATGTACCGACCATCACGATATCCAACCATGATCATATCTTAAATTTTCTAATAGAACAAACCAAGTTCTTTGGTGTACAGAAGATATCTAAAATATTCTTCACATCAACCCAATGCCTTTCACTGGTGATGTATTGTATCTTAGCACATAACTTTTACTTATGCATTTAGTTTCTACGGAGTTATATAGTCAATAGCCTTCAAGGTGCAGATCGACACTAGATCCGGTCTGGGCCAGGAGTCATGTAAAATAACTTGGCACTGTGTAATGTAGCCCCAACCCGCGGTCCATCTTGGCATAGGCTAGGCTATGGGTCATGTAATTTAGGACTTAGGAGAAAAGGCTGGTGAAGTAGCCCCCGAGACTCAGGA